AGTGAATAACGAAGACTGTAGAAAAATGGATAGATTTGAATTAGGGTGTTGAAGAAGAATATCGAAAGTGCTATAGACTGTAAGAAGAAAAACAAATCTGTCTTGAAAGAAATACAGCCAGAATGCTCCTTAGTAGAAAGAATGGTAAGACTTTGTCTCGAGTACTTTGTACATGTGTCAGGAGGGATCAATCCCTGGTGAAAGACATCATGCTTGGTAAAATGGAAGGTCAATGCAAAAAAGGAAGTACCCCTAAAGATGGATAGACAAAGTGACAGTAACAGTGAAGTCAAACATAACAATTGTGTTAATGACACAGGACCAGGGAGTGTTTCATTCTATTGTGCATTGGATCTCTGAGTTGGAACTGACTGGACGGCACCTAACAACAACAACATATCCCCATAATATCTACCTTGATTATTTTGTTTAGGTTTCCTATCTTCTTACTTGTATTTGGTGCTCTTGATCTGTCTTCCTCAGAGAGTTGTGTATTAAGGTCTCCTATTATTTCAGTATGGACTTGACGTAAACATATTAACAATTGTGAAGATAGCTTAGGACCAAGCAGCTATCTTCTGTTGTGTGTAGGGTTGCTATGGGTCAGAGCCAACTCAGCAGCATCTAACAACAAAAACAACAACATGGACTACCATGTCTTGGAAAAAGTATATCGAGAATGCTCCTTTCAAGCAAGGATGGCAAGGCTTCATTCATCTCACCTATTTTGGACATGTTATCAATAGGGAACAGTCCCTAGAAAAGAATATCATGTTTGCTAAAGAGCCAGTGAAAAAGAGGAAGACCTCCAGTGAGATGGATTGACACAGTGACTGCAACATTAGGCTCAAATCCAACAGTAATTAGGAGGACAGTACAGAACTGTGCAGTGTCTTGTTTTCTTGTGTATGGCGTTGCCACTAATTGGAGCCAACTTGACAGAACCTAACAATTACTTGAATGTTTCAGTGTCTTCTACATCTTTTGTTTTATATGTTTGTTTGCTGTGTTGTTTGTTTCATAGATATTCATTCCTCTTATAATTAATTGGGAGTCCTGGTGTGGCGCTGTAGGATTAGCACTTGACCACAACGTTGGTTTGAACCACTGGTTGGTGGTTCAGACTCACGAGCTGCTCCTCAGAAGCCCTATACAGGGTTGCTATGAGTGCTAAATAACCCAACCAAAGGCACTTAACAACAACATACTTAATTATGAACGGTTGCTTTTAACGTTAAAAAGTGCCTTCTTTTGGTAATTTTAATGCTATGTGGGCTTGAATTCCACTTTGTCTGGTATCAGCATTTCTTATTGTTTCCATTGTCTGTTATACTTTTATTCATCTCTTAAATTTTAACCATTTTGAATTTCTTTATAGATCGTAGATTTAAGAGTATCTCTTGCAGATTATATGTAGATGAGACTTACTTTGTGGGCTAAACTGAAAAGTCTTTTCTTTTAATAGTTGGATTGTAACTGTTAACATTTACTGCTAAGCTTTATTTCTTTGGTCTGACCTCTGTCATGGTTTGTGTTTTGATTATGTGTATTATATTATATTTGCTGTTGTTCTGTCCCATCATGATGTTTTTTTTTATTCTTTCTTTCTTTTTGTAATTCCTTTGGTTGCTATTGTGGTTATATCTTTTTAATGTGTTTAGTTCTAATTTTCTTACTTAACTGTTTCTGTTTGCTTTGTCAGTTTTTCATGGTATTCTTTGAATCTTCTTTATTGTCTCTATAAAAAAATAATGACCTTGCTCAACTTTGTTTTTTCACACTTTCCTCCTTTGTTTTTTTCAATGTTTTATTGTGAATTATATGAGAGTTTACATGAGAGAACTCTAGTTTTACATTCATTCCATTGCATATCCTTACATTGCCATGGTTCCAATCCCCTCCATGCCTCATCTCCCGACCAAAGGGCATATCCTGGAAGCCCGTCCTCTGCACTTGGCTCCCCCTCCCCCCCAAAGTCTTCGGCCCACAGTTCCTCTCCCTCTCTGGATCCAAAGTCCCCAGCCGCTCCATCCCTCCATGTCATCGTCCCTGTCTCCATCTCAGGCATCCCTGCTTCTCTGGGTAGG